TGCATATGGAGAAGGGGTTATTTCATTCGAAGGATGCCTACGTTAAGGAAGCAGGAGAGTTGAAATATTTGTTCTGTGTTTATAGGGATGTGACCAGCCGGGGCTGATTCGCCAGAAGTATGTCCAAGCTTTGGCTTAGCCTCACAACCATTGGGAAGAATGAGAGTTACACTAGTGATTATGCATCCGTGAATTGCTAGATGAAATGCGATTAAGTGAAAATGGAAAAATTACTGTCGTTCTCGACAACATCCACTCCAAATCGTATAATGTCTCCTGAGAAGATTTGCCTGTCACAAGAGTCCCCGTCGTCACGTTTAGTGACCCGGACATCATTGACAAAAGTTCCGTTACTGCTATTGGTATCACGAAGCCAAAACTGTAAAAGCCAGTAGACTTGGAAAAAATGAAAATTACTTCGTCGGAGGAAAACCAAATGATTGCGTGATTCCGTGAAAGCACTTTGCAATCGAAGATTGCATTGTTTGGGGCAGCCTTAGCCCGGGCAACAGCTCGACCAACCTTGACAACGTCGTTGACAACTATATTTCGCTCTTCAAAATAGTGCGAATTATGTTGACAAGTGAGTATCATAAGAGGCTGCTTTGAGCGTTGCATGATGGTGGCGCGTTAGTTCCGCCGTATATAGTGAGATGTGATGGCCCACAGACCTAAAAGGAAAACGCGACAAAACGGTGTCATGAGAAAGCTTGTCAGCGAATTATAGGGACAAAACCTGGAAATCGCCCGACGGTCCACCAAATCAAACGAGGATACGTTTTAATTAGATTTAAAGAGCATGGCGGGGAGACTCCTATGCCTTAGACCTGACAATTAGTAGGCTAGTACCAAAAATAAACACCACTGGAAAATACGACCAGTGTCCGGATAGCTGGTAACAATACCATCGGGATAATTTAGAATGGTCTAGTATAAAAGTGCGAAAACATCTGAACAGGGTATACATGTCGGCATGACCCCCGGTTGCAACATACAAGCGAATAATGCAATAAAGGCTGTGAATCCGCAACTGGCCGCTAGCATAAAGCTACCAATGGTGAAAGTAGTCTCCGTGGGGGGTCATGCAAATACAAGCGCGAGGATCCAGAAAGTCCAAATAAATGCTGCGTTCATTAGTTTAAAGGGCTAGTAAGGCAGTAAGGATTAAAATGACATGGAGAAACATAATCCCTGAATTAGCAGCTTGGAATACCTTTGAAAGAAACGATTATTAGGTGTTTTCGAGAGGATTTTTAGGGCGATCGGCATGAAGAATGAGGCATGGCACTCCAGTACTTTTAAGAGCGGGTACAATTTACAAACACTTAATTGGGATTATCTGCTGTTAAAGTTGAAATTTTCTGCTAATTGTTTGTTTTGCGTTTGGCTCCACTCAGCACGGTATGACAGAAAACTCGTTGCGTTTTGACCCCGTAAACTGGATTTAACCGGTGCCCGATCTCATGAAATATTAACCGAAATTTTGAATTAGGAAGAACTATTTATTTGGGGATGGAATATTGAGAAATGTGAGGTCTAATGACTACATATTTAAGGTACGCCAGGATGTGGGCTTTTGCAGGCTTTTCTTTTCGGCCGCATGCAATAACCGCATTCGATAAAAAAAATTACTACTTGAGCAGTATGCAGTTTTTCTATTGTCAACGCATTTTTAAATTCAAATATACAAAATTATTCTTTCCTATACTTATTTGGCAGAAACTTTTTCTGTGAGTTTTATGCTCAAAGGAAGGGTATATGTAGGTTTCCAAAAATTACTCCCATTCTTGAAAAATTGAGTCCGATCTACCGTTTTGGGTTTTCAGTCTACAATCTGTATGCTTTCTTTACATGAAAAGCATATATACCTCTAAGCCATTAAGAAACCACATATTACTCATAATATTTTGCTATGGATGTTGACTATTTTGTATACTTCATGAGAAGCATTAACAGACGGATGACGACAATGCTACTTAAATGCACAGTTTACAGTAAAAGCTCACAACTGGAAACCTTTTAGAGCCAAGACAGCTTTGCTTCATGTACAAGAAGAAAATATGAAGGGCTATAAGATGAGGGCAAAGGGCATATTTTCGCTAATGTTTTCGACATAATATAATACAATATACAAGGGCATCAAAAACCAATAGAAAAAATGCGTACTATTCAAGTAGTCGTCGTTAAAAGTGGTTTTGGAAGGGGGCTGAGAGGCAGTGTAGTCGAAAGCCAGTACCCTGGAGTGTCTAAAATGTTATGAGATTATGCCGCATGATAGTACAACCCCACCTAAGTAAGGCTTCCTGATCGCAAATGCATTTCAAAATTACGGTTGACATTG